CGGGGACATATTCCCAGGAGCTTATGGGAAAACATTCCCATTTCCCACAGAGCACCAGCACTGATGAACTAATGAAACCAGACTGGTTGAAAAACATACCAAACGCAGGTCATCTCCGATCCAGAGAGGCACTGCTTATGGAGTACTAAATTAAAAAAAGAAACAAAACAAAATAAAACCCCAAAAACGTGTGAAACAGCAGAGTGGGTTTAGCTTAATACTGAAACCTGTTGTTCGCAACAGTAGGTAGGAAGTGAACACAAAAAAAAAATGCTAAACTTGAAAAGAAAGCACAAAACTTTAATTCACAGCTGTTGACGCGAAAACCAAAAGACAAGTTGTGGGGAACAAAGCAAAAAAAACGGATACAAAAGAAAAATTCAACGCATGAGGAAGAAAGGGATATTTGGCGTGTGCTGAGGTTGATGAGGACTGACAAAATTGGCTTCCTTTGTCTCTCAAGCTCGAATCACTCCCACAATACAAGGCTCTTCAAATTCTCATCTTTCTCCTTTAAAATTTAATTTGTATACACTATTTATCACTCCGTGTCCGTGTTGATGTGTTAGGGTCTCATGTATACAGTGTTGACTGTTTTGTTCAAAAAAACAAAAAAATGTTTGTACATATGGGTGTGAATTTCAGTCAGGCTTGAGCGAACAAGTCTCTGTGCAAGGTCGCCTTGAGTGGAAGGAAAAGGGACAAATCCTGTCTTCCCAAGTCCTTCTGTTGACGCGAAAACCAAAAGATAAGTCGTGGGGAACAAAGGAAAAAAAAAAAAAAGAACTGAAAAAAAACGGATACAAAAGAAATTCAACACGTGAGGAAGAAAGGGATATTTGGCGTGTGCTGAGGTTGATGAGGACTGACAAAATTGGCTTCCTTTGTCTCTCAAGCTCGAATCACTCCCACAATACAAGGCTCTTCAAATTCTCATCTTTCTCCTTTAAAATTTAATTTGTATACACTATTTATCACTCCGTGTCCGTGTTGATGTGTTAGGGTCTCATGTATACAGTGTTGACTGTTTTGATAAAAAAAAAATAATGTTTGTACATATGGGTGTGAATTTCAGTCAGGCTTGAGCAAACAAGTCTCTGTGCAAGGTCACCTTGAGTGGTAGGAAAAGGGACTATCCTGTTTTCCCAAGTCCTTCTTGTCAGTTTTCTTCCCAGAATGCTGTGGTGCATGAGCGTCTGCCCACCCCCCCGGAAGGTGAACGGAACTGTGGCGGCAGTCGTGGACCGTGGCAAGATGGGGAGAAATGTTGGCGGCAACATATCGGGGAAGTGAGCGGATCGGTCCTGACGCGGAGAGACCCGGGGCAGGTTGCTCTCCCCCACCCTCCCCGTTTTCCAAACATGTCCCCTTTAAGTTCACCCCCTTCACTTCATGTCCACGTCGAAGTCCAGCACCAAGAGCTTGGTTTCCTCTGTGCCGTTACGGCTGCCCACCGCACAAACGAGTTTGGTATTGGAGGCGCGGATGCGCCAGACCACGCCGCCACTGCCTCCGCTCTCCAGTGTGACCAGGTTGCGGATAAACTCGCCCGTCCGAAGGTCCCACAACTTCACTGTACCGTCATCGGAGCTGGTGATGACAAAATTCTTGTTGAACTGCAGGCATGTTACTGCACTCTGGTGCTTGTGGGGACCTGAGAGCAAAATAAAAGAAACAGAAGTTAAAAAAGTAAAAAGAAGTGCACTAATTTGTATTGAATGAACACTTATAATGCATTTCATATCTTTAAAGTATATCATTTTTATAAAAATAACTTGCAAATATAATATCGCTGAAATAAAAGCCAATTAAAAGGATAGGTTTCATTAAAAAGATCTTTGTGTAAGTGAGCGATCGGTCCTGACGCGGAGAGACCCGGGGCAGGTTGCTCTCCCCCACCCTCCCCGTTTTCCAAATATGTCCCCTTTAAGTTCACCCCCTTCACTTCATGTCCACGTCGAAGTCCAGCACCAAGAGCTTGGTTTCCTCTGTGCCGTTACGGCTGCCCACCGCACAAACGAGTTTGGTATTGGAGGCGCGGATGCGCCAGACCACGCCGCCACTGCCTCCGCTCTCCAGTGTGACCAGGTTGCGGATAAACTCGCCCGTCCGAAGGTCCCACAACTTCACTGTACCGTCATCGGAGCTGGTGATGACAAAATTCTTGTTGAACTGCAGGCATGTTACTGCACTCTGGTGCTTGTGGGGACCTGAGAGCAAAATAAAAGAAACAGAAGTTAAAAAAGTAAAAAGAAGTGCACTAATTTGTATTGAATGAACACTTATAATGCATTTCATATCTTTAAAGTATATCATTTTTATAAAAATAACTTGCAAATATAATATCGCTGAAATAAAAGCCAATTAAAAGGATAGGTTTCATTAAAAAGATCTTTGTGTTCAGAAGACTAACCAAAATGTTATGGGTTTGGAACGACATCCAGAATTATTTTTTGGGGGTGAACTATCCCTTTAAGTATATTTATAGAGAGCACACTTTCATGACTATGTTTCTTAAGTACTTTTAAAAAGAGCACTTTGTAATAAAGTCCAATCAAAAGTCTCACCCTAACGTACATTTTAAATACTTGTTTAAATAATCTTTTGTTGTACTTTGGAGTCCGTTTTTGATCTGTTGACTAACATACTAAAGTACAAACTAAAGCACATGTACAATACTGTTAATCAATATTAAAAAAAATTGCAACTTCAACATTACAAATGTGCAATAAATGCATTAAAATACATGTCACACACATTTCGGTAACACTATTTTAAGCTGTCCTTGTTAAGTGTCCTTTAAACTGTAAGCTTACTATTTTAAGCTGTACGTTACATGTACTTACTATTACAATAACATCAAATTATGTATAATTACATGCAAGTCGCTCTAAACCAAACCCTAATCCTAACCATATAGTAAGTAAATGTAGTTAATTAATATTACTCAGTAATTAAATGTATAATTACAATGTAACAAGGACACCTTAAAATAAAGTGTAACCTAAATTTCAATATTAGAGTATATTTTAGTTTACCATAAATGCTTGTCAGTATATTTGGCTGCACACTTTAAACATATTTCATAACTCAATAAAAGTAACTGTTAAGTTACATACAAAGATTCACTTAAGTTTTATTAATTGGTTAAAAAAAACACTCTTAAGTTTAACTAACAGCATTTAAACTAAATTTAAACTAAAATGCATTTATATATATATATATATGCAAATAATAAGCATTTAAGTGTTCAAAACATTACATCCAGATCACACTTAAGTATATTCTTAAGTACATTATTTTCTTAAGTCCTTTTTTTAAAAAGTGTACTAAAGGAATTCCAGATGGAGACACTGCAACAGTGAAAGCACCAATAGACAAGAAATTGAACTGCAGCTACTTGCCACGGCAGAGAGCGAAGAGAGAACGCGTAACTATGGTTACGGGAAATACGGTGGCATAAACGGCTTTGATTCTATGCCCTTGAGGTATTGAATTGAGCCAGCCTTTCTGATAGGCCAAGAAACATGCAAGTCTAAACAAAAGTGCTTAGACTGCCGTCAGCGAGGAATATACAGTAGAGCAATAAAAGAGAGGCGCTACAATGGCTCCTGTTACTGCAGAGGGGTGTGGTGAGCTATTACAGCAACATCACAGGCAATCCACAGAGTCAAATACGGAAAATCACGTTATCAAACATCTAGACCTGAGAACAAAGACAGACTGAAGTTTGTGAGTGAATGAAACTAAAAATATCCATTTCAAAGGCATGAATTTGTTCATGAATACCCATTAGCAGAGAGCTAAAGTCAACTGTGTGAATGCAAATGAGATGGCCGCTCTCTATTGATGTGCAAGACACTACACAGAGCACCACAATAGTCCCTTTTCTTTAATGAGTGACTCTGTGTTTGAGCGTTCGCACTTCAAAGCTCCGCCGCTGAGTTGAGCATCTTGTCTGGGGTTAAATGTGTGTTTTTGTGTATTATGTCAAACGACAGTCATTAAGTGATAACAGGAAATGCTCAATGACCTAATTAAATGACCTACAAACTGATATATGGTCCATCCCCCCTCTTTAGTATCCTCTGGGCACCCCCAACAACACACCCCAACCCCCTCCAATTCCTTTCATCATGTCATCAATCCCTCACCCTTCCACAAGAGCAAGGCTCAAGATGCTAAGAGAGGCTGGGAATTATGAAAAATACATCTTTGGAAACACAAACGCCTGTGAGGTAGTGAAAAATGTGATCGTTTGCCTCTAGACTGTGACTATAAATTATGTGTTTGTGTCTAAAATGGATATTCTATTGTTTTAAGCATAACGTGCTTGAGGCACATAAAATGTGATATTTGAAACTGAAGAACACTTTATAAAATTAAATAACCACACAACAAGCAGTCGGATTATTAATTCATGATCTGAAGCTCTTAAAAGAATGGTTCACCCCCAAAAATATATTTTTATTTTCAATTATTTATTTATTCACGTCGTTCCAAATTTTCATGCAGTTATTTTTTCACAAAAGTAGAACGTTTTGAATTATCTTTTTATACAAAACAGTTCTAAGCGGCTGTCAAGCTCCACAAAAGAACAAAATATAGCATTATGGTACTTGTATGCCAAGTCTTCTGAAGCCACATGATAAAGGTGTGAATTTAAATATTATGTTGCTTTTGAAGTTGGCAGAAATTGTGATCTTTCCTTCCTTATCGTGACGCATATTAGAGTAAAACAGCTTCTCGAATGAGGAAAAATAAATAGGGTGGGACTACAAGGGAGCATTAATTAAAAAAAAGATGTTCATGGATAAAGCATTCCATCAAATTTGATATCATGGTGATTTTTAATCACTGATGGGCATCATTGCCATTTTTAGGTGGACTATTCCTTTGAGTTGCGATCAGTCAAGACTCTCTCTGCTCACCTTGCAGTGTCTGTAGGCACTGGCCGGTCTTGATGTCCCAGATCTTGACGGTAGAGTCTGCATTTCCAGAGACTAGGATATTATCTTTGAGCTCCATGCCGCTGGTGAGAGACTGATGACCTGTGAGCGTGTGAATACAGTTTCCAGTCTCTACATCCCACACCCGAATTGACGTGTCCAATGAACCGCTCACCACGTGGATGCCGTCAAACTGCAGAAAGAATGGATTAAATAAATAATTGTGCAGTAATTAATAAATGACATGATATATATAAGAAATGACTGTGGCTAAACACCCAGAGTAGTCATTTGGCTTATCCTCTGTCTAGAATAAAAGCCAAGAACAATTCAATAAAAGCTTTAGTGAGTATGGCAGGGATTTGATTCATTTCACAATGAGATGCAGCACAAGCTGAATTCCAGATATTTTCCATTCTATTGTTATTGGTTTAAATGCCAATATGTTTGATTAAATTTTTTTTCTAATGTAATTACCGCAAAGCTCTTAAAATTATGGATATATGAACAAAACAGGACAAATGCGGATTAGTACGGACTACAGCCCAAATGCTTTGTCCCACACAGTTGCTGGGTCAATGACAAGACAAAAATAACAAAAATCTATTTAAAATGCATTGACCAAGTTCTTGTAAATCACGCTGAATGTAAGCTTTGCATTCGTGTTGGTTTCATATGGTTTTGAACTTTTATACCATTTTCAACAATAGTTTAATGACTCACTAATGACATAAAATGTCACGTGGTTTAACCATTTAAAAAACAATACCATTTTCAATACACGTGAATGCACATATTTTAATCAATTTGTTTTTTTCATTCTAGAAATATTTTAGATGCAAAGTCGGCAACACCAAAGCTCCAAAAGTATCAAAAAATTTATTTTTTAAAAAGACTGTCTTTCATTCTAAAAAATAATTTTGACAATTACTTCCCCCCCCAAGTTTTCTGGGGGTTGTAGCACATGACATTTTACAATCTGAGCTAATCTCGCTACTGTATGTCAAAAAGGTCAAATCATCCAATTCATTTATTTTCAATGTTATATATTATATATAAATATTTTCAAAAGCATGTTGGTTGTACCACATTAATTTAATTTGGTGGACAAAAGTTTCGCAAATGTTTATAATATTTAAACAAATCAGCTTGACTCTGAAGTTTAAGAACTTCATATCACCCAAAAAGTACCAAAATGAATCATAATTAAAACCGCATCATATAAGAAGCATTTTCAAGTCTATGTATTTTTTGTACGAATATCATTTTAAATGCACTTTTGAATGAGTGTAATGTTACTGATTATGAAAAAGAATGGGCAATGACACATTAGCTTAAACGTTTTGCAGATCCTATTACTGTTACACCTAATAACTCTCAGATGATTCTGAGTCATTGAAGGCATGTGGCTTATGTAAACTTCCAGCACAATTAGCAGTAGGATAGGTCATGTAAGCTTTTCAAAAGAATAGGCAGAATGATAGTGCTTCTTATTCAGACAAAATATCTCTTTATCCCATGCTCTGCAATGAGTGATGTTTGAGCTTTAAAGATCTCTTGCCTTTCTGCTGAAGAATTAAGAGAGCAATAACCCGTAGAGACATTTCATTTTTCATTGAGCAAAAGGCTAAAGTGGCTTGATTCTTTTTCTTGCTTTAAACAACTACAAATCCATCAGCCATTAATCTGCCATCTGAGAGGCAGCTGAAGTGGTTGAGTGATAGAGCATGTGAGTCAGGTGCACGTAAACATGTGTTTACCTGCAGAGAGTAGACTCTGTTGGTGTGACCCTGGAGTGTGTGTAGGCAGGTCTCGGTTTCAGGATCCCACACTTTCACCATAAAGTCATAGGCCCCGCTGACCACCCTACGGCCGTCATACTGTACACAGCGAACAGCCGCCACATGACCCATGAGCACGTGCAAACACTGACCCGTCTCTATGTCCCAAACCCGCAGCGTAGCGTCCCGGGAACCGCTCACCACCCTGAGAGAGAAAAAAAAACCCGGTTTACTTCTCAACATCTTAAAGCAGTGTGTTCACATCAAAAGTTTCATATAATACAGTTTAAGTTATTTCTTTCGCAACTTATAATGGAAGAATTCATCAGGCATTAATTCAGCAGTCTACGACAGTCAATTTCTTGTACCTCCAAGGGATGTGTTTGCTTATGGCATTACATAAATCAAAGGAAAAATATTATTTGCTTACAAAACCAGACCCCCCTAGGACACAGGTTTGGTAAATATATTTTTTTAAATGAGCAAAATGAACATTAAAATGGGTGCTGGTGAAGAAAAGAGCAACAAACAGAAACTACTATTGTTGTTGCTGAATGAAGCCTGAGGTTACTGCACAAAATAAGCAATCATGCACGGCACAAAGGGAAAATATGCACACCAATTGGCCCAGAGGCATTGAAACACTGAGAATATTGTCAGGCAAGCAATTGTGTAATTCACAACAGTGCATAAAGAAGCAAGCCTCTCGACTGTATGTGAATACTCCACACGGTCAGTGTGTACAGCTGAAACCAGACGGGAACTGTGTGGTTTAACTATCACACAATCGTGTATTGTGTGCTGCTATTGAAGGTAATTATCTTTAAAGTATTATATAATATACAGTACTTTATATAATACTTTAAAGTAAATGAACTCATGCATGGTAGTTGTTTATTTAAGGTTGATACTCTACACCAGTGTTTCACTTTCAGTTTATTTGAACCAAAAATGATCATTTATATTCAAGTTAATTTTAAGATTTTTAAATAATTTTAATCTATTTTTATAATAAAAAATGATATTAATTTTAAATATTTTGACAACACAAAAAAAATGACTGAAAAATCTATTAAAACAATTGTATAAAATAGGCACTTTTTTGATCTTCCCATAAAGCCTGGGAAAACCTATTTACTTTACATTTTATTTAATTCATGTAAATCTGTTAAATTCTGTTTAATATGTTTAACAAAGCAAAATGGTTTATAAAAGGCAGTGCAGTATTCTATATGCATCTTAATGTGGGCTTTGGAAGGCGGTAGATGTTACCTTTTCTCATGCAAGTGCATACAGCGCACTGTTGAGGTATGACCATACAGCGTGTGGATACATTCTCCCGTCTCTGCATTCCAGACCTTCAGCGTTCGGTCTGTGGAGCCACTGATAATGATGTTGTCTCGCATCTGAGAGGACCAGACCCCACCGGTGTGGCCGACTAACGTCCGCAAACACTGGTGAAAAAGAGAATACAAAGGTAAACCAATTGAATCACAATGCCACATATATAAACTGCAACTCTGAAAGAATGGCCAAAAAAGATTTCAAATGAATTACCCAATGCCTGCACTAATTAGAAGCACTCTGGATCCATCACTTTGACCTTTACCCAAGACATAACTTCTGCTTATCAACATACATCAAATAACTTCACAGTCCATTCGAAGCAGGAAGCAGCGTTAATGGAAAAAGAAACACTCTTTATTTCATATGATATATTAGATATTGATCAGCTTGATGAGAGAATTCCCTTAGAATAAACCATGAGGCTAAGGGCCATTTCCTCTAAATATAATTAAACCAAATTCAATTTCATTTCAGAGGCAAACACTGAATCAAAGGTCATTTCGTTGTGTTATGAAGCGAGTGGAAAGCGTTGCAAGTGTCAAAGGCGCAACCTCTGAACCATGACCGATAAAAGCAGGGGTGATAAACCCAGGAGATGTGAAAGAGGAGGTCTCAAGGCCTTTAATTCATAATGCAGCTGCTCCTATTTCTGTCTCCATCTCGATCATGATCAACCGTAATGCATCATTAATCTTTAGAAGCGGTGACCAACCTCCAAGACACCCGGGGCTTTCGAGTGTTTTAACGCGTCTTGCTTTGTTCCATCGCCGTATGTGGCAGTTGATGGAACAAAAGAGCAAGCACTGAGGAAATCAAAGCAATTAACAGTAATTTAAAACCATTACTGTACTAGCAAAAAATGACAAATTGGACTGGGTTAAAAGCAAGAATGGCTCTTTAAGGGAACTGGAGAAACAACAAAGATGTCGCCTCTGAACAATCCATGTTAAAACGTGCCCAAAGACAATTTCTTATCATCTTGTGATCAAAAAGCTTCTCCGCTCACATTTGTAGTGTCCATAACATGCCAGAGAGAAAAAGGAGGGGACTAACTCATGAATATTAATGCACTTCTTACTGCATTATGCATGAGGTGTAGTGTTCCATAATGAGTACGTGTTACTAAGGCAATGGATCTTTCCCATGGAATGTTGAGGTGGTTTAAATAGTGCCGGCGAGCACAGAAAGCTTTCAGGCCGTGTTCTCAGGCGATTACAGCCTGCTCAGGCTGTGTCTGTGAGAGGACCTTTGAAACCAAATGGCTTAGGTGTCTGTTTATCTGCCCGTTGAGAAACCATAAAAGAGCAAGTCTGTGGCACCCACGAGGCATGGAGATTAGCATTCCGTTTGAGTGGCTGGTGGGAAATGTTTGAAGCCAAGGATCGAGGTTTAAATCCATTTGAGGAACCCCTTCCAAATTCCACTCATTTTACAGTCCACATCTAATCTTAGGGAAGAAGATACCGTGCAAATTGCAGCCAGGGCGGTAAAGTGCCAGTGCTTATTTTGTTCAGTCTCCTTCCAAAAATCCACATTGCGCTCATCGGACTGAAGTGGCTCGCATTTCAACACCCTCGTTCTTGTTCGAAACCCACCGCATCTCTGAATGGCTAGGACTGGAGCACATATTCGTGTCTCAGATGGTGAGCAGACTGTTTGGAGCAGCTGTTTTCATTGCTAACCCTCCTATTTTCATACCAAAAAAGTCCTCTCCCATCTGGAAGAGCACTATTAGTAAAGCTTTTCATTATCAAACCACAGAATACAATGGTTTGTGGGAACTGTGGTTGGAAGAACATCTGTCTGTTAAATACAGTTAAGCTGTTGAGCTTGGGCTCTGTAAATGAGTTAAAGGAGGGTATACAAGGTAAACAAATGAAACAATGGTGTGCGGAATGGTTCTCATGAGCACAAACGTCTTCTAGGGCCAATAAATATGGGTAAAAATTATTTTTGAGTACAAACCCTAGCATGTTACCACCATTTTACATCACTAAACCAAATTAGTACCAAGCTTTCTGGGAAAGACAGACTATTGTAAAAGTCATAAGAGGTTAGACCAATGATGTTTAACTTAAAAACGCAAGAAAAAGTTCTAAACCTACTAAAACTGAAATAAAGCTAAACGGAAATATTCAAAAAATAAAAATAACAAAAGCACATAAAATTACTAAAACTCAAATTAAAACGCAAAAAGGCTAATTTAACAACACATAATAGTGTACAAAGATCACACTTCAAGGTCCAATTCTTGCTATTAACAAACCATTGACTACGACTTTTGCCTCAAACTCCTAATTTTCTGCTTATTAATAGTTAGTAAGGTAGTTGTTAAGTTTAGATATTGAGTAGGATTAGGGATGTAGAATATAGTCACGCACAAAATGTGCCTTATAAGCACTAATAAACAGCAAATATGTTAATAATAGGCATGCTAATAAGCAGCTAGATAATAGTGAGAATTTTTCCTTATGCTAAAATGTTACCTGTATAAATAAATAAAATAACACTGGGCTATCCTCATTACATATGAATGGTATGGAGCTAATTATCTAACTACAGCTACCATAAAATCCATTTAAATATCTTAAGAGGGGGTTTTAAAACCATCAGGCCACAAACAAGAGGTTTGCACTGATTCAAGAACAGATTTAGATATATATATATGATTTGCAAGATCAGCATAAGAATGTAATCTCCGGCTGGGTGTGTTTGTTTCTCTGATGCAGAAGTGGGTGGAGGGTTTGGGCTGGAGTGCTGCAGTCTGCATGTTAAGGAGTTGGTGGTCAGCCAAAGGTGCAGTCTGAGTCATGGCTGGAGAGCGGGAGGGGGAGGAGAGAGTCGCAGGGAATTAAAAGCAGAATAAAGCAGCGAAAATGAGGGGAGAGAGCGTGAAATAGAGCCTTTATCCTAAAGGCTTTAGGATAAGTGAAAGTTGTGTTGAAAGAAATAAGTAAACAGGAGGATGGAGGCCGGAGGGCTGTTTTCACAGTATGAGCAAATGCATATGCTCATACTCTTCCTGTGACCTCTTCCCTCCTCTCTACAGTATGTCCTGTCACACCCAGGCCTCCTGCGACAGCATAAACATCTCCATGAAAGGTGACCTCCAGAGGCAGAGAGCTGCTTTCAAACATTACAGAAACAGTCTCATGGGCTTTCGGACTTGAAATTGTTGATCTAAATCCAGGCTTTCACACAATTAATAGGTTAGTAATTAATCTTGAAAAAGTTTTAAGATTTCACACTCTATATTTGTAAACACCAGATTAACATTCACGTTTGCATATTCATCAGGGTACAAAATGCAAGTATAGCTGCTTTAATACTTGCTAGTTCATCTGTGGAAATTTTGGCGAATCCGCTTGTCCTTTGAAATATTCTGAAATATAGTACAACCATAATACAGTTGCTACTTTATTACAGTAAACATATTTGTCACCGCTGTTTAACATGACTTTTTTTCCCCTCAGGTGCTGAAACTAAATGGTACAAAAAGCTCATGAATATAGCTCATGAATCTATCTATCCATCCATCCATCCATCCATCTATCTATCATAGGGATCATACAGAGAATTTTAAGCAAATATTGTATAACAGAGCATAACGAGAATATTTATATTAACCACTCAGCATTTTATTAATTTCCATGACTTTGCTAAGCCTGAAAATCACACTTTCGTTTGATGTGCAAACTAAAGAGTGACTTAAATCAATTTACATTTTTTAGGTTTTTTAAACTCACCCCTAAATGAACCCTAACCTTTATTTTATTTATTTTTTTATATTTTATATTGTATTTATTTATTTTCTAGAGATTACGCATACAAGAGAACATTTTAACCAAATAAATGTTTTATAAAAGCACATAAGAAACATTTCTATTAACTAATAAATTTTCAGTGATTTTATTCATTTCCATGACCTATCCAGGCCAGGAAATCACACTTTTGAAAAACTGAGCTAGCCAGGCCAGGTTTCCCTTTCAAAATTGCAAGTGAGAAATGCAGCTTTAAACCCAGTGTGAAAAGCCTTTTACTATTTATTTAGTCTTATTTTCAAGGTATCCACATAACCTTTTGTGCACACCAAAACTTTCCACGCCACTCATCACTGCACAGGTGAAAAGAGCTGTGGGTAAATCCTTCGACACATCTCAGAGAAGCCAGATTAAATACGTCTTAGCCCAGGGCTGGTTGTGATGTGACAGAAAGAGAGAGATGTTGGCCAAGTGTCACTGACACTATATAAGGAATATTCCACAGGCGTTTTGAAACTGAGATGTCAGGCATGTCCATACAGCCGGCACAGAGGAAACCTGGTGAGCATATCGGAAGTTTTAGGAAGAATCATCTTCGACTCAGGGAGATGAGTCTGACAGCTCCCAGTGAGACCGAGAGAGAGAGTGCTACATATAATCTGTGAAGTGGTGCAAATCTCTAAAACACCTCACTTATTTACCAGGTAATCTGAACAGTGTAGTTTTTGTTGGTCATGTCATGGAGACAACATTAAAACCAAAGACCATAGAAGCCCCTATTCTTAACTTGATCCTAATCCAAAACAACTCATCTCTTTGCTTATGTCTCAGTCACATTTCATCCCTCATCAGACGCTTATCGTGCTGTACACATCCTCAAGCATGGCACACATTCAAATGAGCAGGATGCTGCGTTAGAGCCTAATCTTCCCTCAAAATCACTTCCTTATTACACACAGCATGAGGCCCATTCATTTACTATGGAAGGGGGCCAGTAACAGCATTATCAAGCTAGCGCGGGTGAAGATGGTCTGTAATCCACGGCATGCCCATCAGATCTTTATCTACCGTTCAAATCAGGCGTTGCTCAGACATTTACTTATTTTCATGTCTGGCTAATGATACTGGGGTGAGCTATAAAACAATAACAGTATAGTGATATAAGTTTGTCAACCAGTATACACTTTCTAACAGGGTTATGCTAGCGCTTCCTGCACAGCTTTTCAGATTCAGGTGTAAATAAAGGGATGTGACCACTAAATGATGGCAAGAAATCATGTTTAGTGAATTATTCTCAAGCAAGGTTCATGAAAACTCGGAGGTTCATAACTTATCAGGTTACAAATCTGGGTATGATCGTAACAATTCAAGGAGTAGAACATGGCGCTAAATTACAGGATCAGTTTCCAGCAAACTTAGAAAAATGTATTCCTTTAATGCAGTATAAGATTCTTTGGTTAAAGCATCTGCCAAAGCATAAATGTAATGCTGCCTTTAATAATGAAATATGCGGGTCAAATTGGGCTGCAAACATATTTGTAAGAGATTTTTTTCAGCACCAGCATTTCTCTATAAACTATGTTCTTTTCCACCCAAGTTATTCATGAATCACTTATACAGAAAGAGGGAACCAGCCCATGGTGGTGGCGTTGCCAACTCCCAATAAACATTATCTATTATGGGAAAAGCAGGGCTCTACAGTGCGACCGAAAACTACTGCGTGCGACTAAGACATTTTTTTTAGGAGCACCAGTGCGACTGACCCGATCATCATCATACTTGTGATTGCGCTCAAGGGAGCTTCAAAGGTTTCTACGTGTTTTTGCAGCGTTGAGTAATGTATCACAGACATATCTCAAGAATCCTTTCATAAGCAAAGTGTAGACAGGGTGTAAACAAGGGATTCATTGCGCAGTGTAGAGAGCTTCGTTGATTATAAATGTGAGATCACGATGAACTAAGATGAGTGACAGCTTTTAATGATTTTTAAAGGAGTTTGTAAATGTGATACTGATTTAATACAATACAATTCAATAAACAAGAAGTTAATATTAAGTGACTTACATTGTCTCACGATAACACTATTGTCTGATTTTACTCTATTTCATCATCGAAAATAGTTTAAAACAAAGACACAGCTCAGCCGTTGCGCATCTCCATTCAAACACAGCGGTGTTTCGTTTATGAATGAACGGGCGTTTTTTAAACGAATCTAGTGAGTCAGTGATTCATGATTACCCATTCATAAAGACAGTCACTTGCTTCATTCCTGAATGAATCAGCCGTTCGAATGAATCAATTGAACGAATGATTCAGTGATAAAAATCAGTGACTTGCCGCCACCTGCTGGCAGTTTTAGTTTCATTTTTAAAGTATCTTTTCAGTTATTTAAATAAGTTAATATTTCTATATCCAAAATTTTATATTTAAAACATTCATATCATCATGAATTTATGTATTTAATTGCACTCATTCCACTTCTGAAGGTGCTCCTAAATTTTTTAAGAAAAGTAAGCGTAGAGCCCTGAAAAGCTGTTAATCTGGTCTCAGATCAGCAGTGAAGGGCACCTTCTTACCTACACAGAAAGAAACCTGCTGCTTCCAACAGATGGACTGCAGCAAAATGGCCCGTTTGGACAGATTTGTAACTTTTTTTTTTTTTTTGCTTGTGGAAAAGAAGCTAATGACATTTTTCTGTTTTAATCTATTAACTCAAAATGGACTCCAATATAATGAGTGAAAACAGTGAAGGGTGTTTTAATAGGAACGGAGCACTTGTGTGCAAAGGAATTCCAACTATTCTCTCACTATGACATTCTTTGGCCAGCTTTATCCTCAGACAATATCAGAGCAAAGCAAACAAAGAACGGAGAGAAACTTGGACAATGAGACATCCAACCACCATACAAAGAGAAAGCAAACGCTTTCGTTCTTTAGTGAAAATGGAGGTCAAATCGGCAAAAGAAGTGTTTGTGTGAGTATGTGTGTATATGGGGGTTGGTGATGTACAAAATCGGGACCCATGACCCACAGGAGCCTATTTGTCTAGATCTGCTATCGATCCCAACCCAAAAAGGTTTAGTCTCAAGAGGGTGAATATCTGCCTGTGAGCTGCTTACATGAGCTCCTGGGGTTTACAGCACTTAAATGGTGAACTGAAGTGTAGCGAAAGGAAAAAGTAAACAGACCCAAGGTCAAGAAGACAGAGACTGTGTAAGAGAAGCGGAAAGAGATGAACGAAGCAATGAAACAGAAGGGAGGGAGGGCCACATCCATAGATTCAGAGAGGTAATGCAGCCGAAATAACATTTGCGGCTGTGGCCATGAAAACAAGACTGCAGACTGCTAATCAAAAGTGACCGTGTGGTGTGGAAAATGCAAATGTTTAAAAACACAAAAAAGAATGTATATTTGGACGTTATTAATGTACTCAGTTAATAGTTCACAGCTGAGTGAACTACAGGAAGGAATAGAAAGTAGGAAAGAGTACAGTAAAAGAAAAGTAGTCGCACTAAATCCTATTGTCTCCTGCTTCACTGTTCCACTTCCTCTGACAGGCGCTTCAAAGGACACAGCATTTCCTGTTTAATTGGCCACAGTCAGGACTCTCTAAAGCAGTGTTTCCCAACTGGGGTGCCGTCTGTCGAGAGCAGGGGTGCCGTGTAAAAAAATCATTTTTTAATATTTTTAAATTGCTAAAATGTTCAAAAAAGCATATATTATATAATATACATTTCTGATGTCGCCAATAATTAGAGATGCACCGAAATTTCGGCTGCCGAAAATTAGTTCTTCCCTGTTGTACCGAATATCTATACTTTTCAAATTATCACATCAAAGTTAGAAATTCAAATATTGTGACAAAATTAATTTTGTAGGGTGCCACAAGTTTGTTAAAATTTCCAAAGGGTGCCGCGACTAAAAAAAGGTTGGGAAACACTGCTCTAAAGCATTGCATCAGACTTGAGACACTATTCATCCAGCTATATTCTCTTTCATATTAGGGGTGCACAATATACCGGCACCATATCAATTATCGGCTGATTTCAGCAATTAAAAATACATATAATAATAATTTAACTATATTTAAATATTGAATTAAAATAATGTATACATTTAACTACTTTTAGCTATTTAATTCATTTTAGATGTTTATTTTATTAGCCGATATTAAATATTTATCGCCGATATTGGATATTGCGCTTAAGATTACGTCTGCAATCTTTTACAAACGATTTGTTTTTACAAATATTTTTACAACAATAAATAAATTTTTATACATGCATATATTTTTTTTTTCCACGGTAAAATGGTTTGCTCACTCTCTGATTGGCTGAATGCCTGTTTTAGACTTTTTTGAAAGAATTTTGATATAATTCTGCATAACAGAAGCTGATCCAAGCTTTACAAGCATTTTCAAGCTGATGCTTCTTTTCGACAGCTCCGCAAACAGCACTGCATGATGGGAACAAAAAGGCCGCCTGCCATATATGTGGCGATGACCCTAATCATGGCGCATCTGCCATCTGCTACCATGATGTCTCTCATCAGACAGCATGTTACTGCTGAACCAATCATGTCTCTGTTGTGATAAGACGAGAGCCAATCAATGCATGCTAAATTTGATTACAGAAGCTCAAAGGCTGATAACGTTGGGAATGATGAGATCCTCTTCTGTGAAAAGCGGACTAGTGAGAGACACATAGAGGATGGAAAAGAGAAAAATCTAACAAACGTGGAAGATAACGCCTGTGTTAGTATCTGGTATGATAGTGAACATTACAAGGAGAGATTTCATTAGACTCCGGATGAAAATGGAGGTCAGGATGGAAAGGGCAGCGCTGCATGATGAGTGAATCGCACACACATTTTTTACAACTGCCATAAACTTGTAGCACAAGGACCATGTCACAGCATAAGCTTGTGCAATGAATCCTTAAAGTGCACGAGGAGGGGAATGGCAGAGAATGGAGGTGAGAAAGAGAGAGAGAGACAGTCAGCCAGAAAGACATGCTGTTTGTAGTTAGTGCTCATCTCAGCGTTCAATAGAACAGGACTCCTCACGTTCTCACGTGAATAAGTGATGAAGATGGTCATGTGCAGGTTTTCTGGATGAACTGAAATGGTGCTGCTGTACAAGCATGTTCAATGAAAACACACCTCCCATGAGAGAGAGAGTGAGAAGACCGAGAGAATGAGCGGAGGACAGAGAGGAGACAGCTGCACACCTATGTACATGTCAAGATGGATACCTCAAATATCTGAAAACATTTAGAAAATTCAAGCAAAGCCACCAGACATTACAGAAAATCGTTAAAAAGCCAAGTTGCACGATATTTACCGTGACCAATGTATTATTCAGTCATAACTAGGAAAATTAAGTTATCATCTTTTATACAGATAGTGGAATTAAAGGCAATTATTTTAACTGATAATAACAGTGTTAGTATGTACGTGTGAGCCAAATAGATACAGTATTTGATTATTGTGTTTGGCCTCATTTAAAGCAGAATCATCTGCTGTAATTAAAATTCTTACAGCAGATATTCAACAGAATATTTTCTTTAATGTGTGAAAATTCGTGTATTAAAACATTTATATATTATTTATATATTATCTATATCATTATATATTACTCTATAAAGTCCTTCAAATAAATAAAAAATATAAATAAAAAAAACTCACCTTCCCAGTAACAGCAGACCATACTTTGAGTGTGTTGTCGTCTGAGCCGCTCACTATGCGGTTTCCACAGAACTGGAGACAGGTGATGACATGGTCGTCATGGCCTTTCAACACCTGAAAATAGAGGAAAGCCAAGAGAGAAAAAGGAGTAATTACAAAATGAAAAGAAATGCTAGTGTTTCAGTGATGTGCGAGAACGATGTGATGCTGCTGATGTGGCAAATGACACAGCAGCTTTCAATAACATGACAGAGACAAGCAAGAACCGACAGGTTCATGGTCACCATGGCAACAAATGATTTAGGTAAACCACTGCTGTTGCCAGTTGGTCTGGTGCAGCTGAAGCATGTGTACATGGGTAACTGAAGATTCCTATTTTTTGGCACCTAAATGTGCCTTCAAGAGGACTTTTAAGTAGCTCTTTACAGGCTGGTGCAGACAATTTCTTAAACATTTCTGTTCCAAGCTTGTGCCCCAGGTGACAGGTTAATGGGTGTCTCTCAAAAGGAATTCCCAATTAGATGGCCAACAAAGACTATAAAAAGCAATATAAATCAGCTTTAAGCACCAATTCTGCCCAAGTGAGTAAAGTGATTTAATATGATGCCTTACAGTAACAAAGAACTAGGAAAATGAAATGTAGGAAAAATGTATTTGATCACAAATACAGTAAAAACAGTAATATTGTGAAATACTAGAGATTTAAATAATTGTTTCCCTTTTTAATATACTTTTAGATGTAATTTATTTCTGTGATGGCAAAGCTGTATTTTCAGCAGCCATCTTAGACCTCACATGATCAGATATTATTCTAATATTCTGATTTGGTGCTCAAGAAATATTATTATGAATTATGAAAACAGCTGTGCTACTTAATATTTTTGTGGATTATTTTCCATGCCTCGTTGATAAATAGAAAGAACAGGATTTATTTGAAACCGAAATCTTTTGCAGCATTACACATCTGTACTGTCGCTTTTATATAAAAATATAAAATGGAAGAAATCTCACTGACCCCAAACTATTGAATGGCACTGTATATATAGTTTCAATCATATATTTATAAAATAAAGATTAGATTCTATATAAATTTTTTCCCTGGATATTAATACATACTTCTTGTGATGTATCAATGTTTTTGCTATTTGCTGTGCCTTTCAGACTGGGCCTCAATATTGGGAATCTCATTTAAAATGGGTGTATATCTTGAGAAGACCACTTTGTAGGACACTATCAGGGAATGTACTGGTGAATTAGGAGTGAGAATAAGAAGTGAACAACACGCTACCTTGGGTGATTTGAGGTCTCCTCTCCTCCAGTTGGTGTCTATTCTGTGTTGTCTAATGTAGGCACTCTTCCAGGGACTGTGTGTGAACCCTGGCTTGATAACCTTCCTTCTCTTTATGTACAAGGGTTCGTCAATACCTGCAAAACAGTTGTTTTCTATGTTGATGACACTAATGATTCAGTGCATGATATATAACCATATATTAACAATATACATGTGGTTAAGGGATGAATTTCCAAAGTCACAGAGTTTGTGGAAAGCAGTAAAAATCACCTTCTTCTTTGCATTTTTCCCTCCATAGCAGGTTGTCCTCTGCTAGAATGCGCCAGTAACGACACGTCTGAGCTGCCTGAAGCAGATCCTTTGGCTCCAGAAATGACAACACGTGTAAGGCCAACTACAACACAAGACAGACAGACAGAGTCAGACATCAGGAGAAGGTGAGGATAGGAAAAAGTAGGCTACAACGGGATAATTTAGACCAATTAACCGTATTAATTTAAGGTCTTCACTTGATCACAAGTAGAGTGACAAAGTACAGATTTTGTTCTGTTCTCCCATTTTCAAGAGCGCTGCAATTGGCAAAGACCTCAGACAGAGCATGTCCAAACAGTTCCACCATTCCTTATGCAATCTAACATGAAGGTTGCAGCCTGAGATTCCACAGTGTGTACAGTATTAGCCTAGAGGAGCTTTTTCCACAATCTGCTTCAATCAGGCAGACAGACACACCCTGAATACTACTGCACTGACACAGAAGAAAAACAACCTGATGGGGAGGAGAGCCAGGAAAGAGGGAGACAAGATGACAGGTGATGGAGAACAAGAAAGGCAAGCTGAAGCCGTGACAGGAAGAAGAGAGGATGAAAGGCAGAGAGGGCTGCTGTTAAAGAAAGAAAAAAGCAGAGAAGGGGATGGGGATGGGGATGGGGAAGTTTCCTCTCTATATTCCTGAATAGCAGCTGAGAGAGTTGTAATATCTCTCTGAAGAGGTGTAAGAGAGGACATCCCTGTCAAATGAACTCCAGCACTTACTGTGCTCTAAAACCACCCTGTCAAATATCAGAGCCATAAAGTGCAAGACTGTGTTAAAATAAAAATTAAGAGAAATGAAAAGGTCCTTTTCAAGATCTGGGCTTTAGTAGATTCATAGTGAAATGTACGAGTTTTAGAAAATAAATAAGAATGAAGGTCCATTCCTAAAACTAACCTATAAATGATATTGTACAAATACATACAAATTAGCAAACAATTTGCCAAAACGAAACATTTTTCAAAAACAAACATTTTTCAGCAGCCTTGGTTCCAGAAGCATTTTTCTTATTCATTTTCCATTTTTATTTACTAAAGAGATATAAGCCATGAACCAACCAACGAGCTGCAAGGTGAATCACAACATTACAAATTTTGATTTGAAGGGGGAAAAAATGTGAAAAGGTACAAGACAGCGAACTTAAAGACTGTAATGAGGTAAAGAACTACAATCCCATGAAGTAGTGTGGATGACAAGCAATTAAAAAAAGATATATAAAAATCTATTTAAAAATGTTAGATTATATATAAAAAAACCTATCTATTTTACATCAATGTCAAAAAATTTGCATCTATACACAAATGAGTGGGCATTAAAGTGTTCTTTTGGTGTAATTTTATTTTATGCTTTTCATAAATTATTTGTAGAATTATGGGTAATGTAGTTTTTCATCAGGAATTCCACTGTTAGACATGATTATTAAAAAATAAATAAATACATTGATATTATGCAGGTTAACGGCTTCAACAAAAGCATTCTTTAACAACCTCTTCACTCAGAGTAGGTATGAATTTAGCGGTTTGCAAGTTATCATTAAAAATCAGTTGCACTCTATTGGATACAAATTTGTCTTAATCTGGACATATCTAATCTGATTGACTATGCAACTTCTATTCAACTTCTTCTACTTTAAACTACTTGCCTAAGTTTGCGATGTTAGTAGCATCTAAACGTTGAAAGATAATCAGTGTTTTGTTTTCATTAACTTCATGAAGTTTCTGAATCTTAAGATGACGGTGTGAGTGATTTTATATATAAATTTACCTCTCTGGGCAGGAGTGAGATGAAGTCTCTCTGAAACTGTGGTTCGATCACCTGCATCATGTGTTTCACCTGCGTGGGCTCACAGCTGTCAATCAACTCATCCAGCGCAAGCAGCTTCTCTGGGCCACTCCAGCTCTGTTAACACACATCAGCACATATGTTACCAAGAACACAAAGAATGTGCACATCCAAGAGCCATCAATTTCCATTTAGAGCTTTAGATTTACATTTTAATTAGGACTGGCGATGCTTTTTCGCTGGCTATACAGCAGCAACTTCTGGCATGAGCGTAACCATGAAGGTTCTCGTAAGTCAAATGGATCAGACTTCGCATCTTGGGGCTGTTGGAAAATTCCCAGGGTTCGTTCTCCTAAAATTAAGCTGCGGTCAACTTCATCCAGTTGAATAAAATGTTTCGCTGATCTCATGGTGCTCAGAACTTAATTCGCTCTCAGTGAGGACGCGCTGCACCGGAGAGATTGTGCCAAAGTCATTCCGCTCTGAAGCGCATCAAATGAGAGAGGAGGATTGCTCAGGGATGTTTATGATGGAAGAGGGATGTACAGAAGAGGACTATGGGGAGGCAAAGCACCCGTAATTTACTGCTGAAACGCTTCAGCTGGGGGAACTCGGCGTTGTTGTCACAGGCGGGTTTATGTCTATATATGTTTATGCAAGGATAACTGCCTCTTTTAACAGCTCAAAATAATAAGACAACATTATACAGTTGAGGGAAAATCAGATTGAAATGTTCAATTCTGTCGATTCTTTAATTGAAGCCAACAAATTAAACTAAGCAAAAGACACACAGGCTTCCCAAACTTAATTAATGAATTTCCATTACTTTTCAAAGACATTGTCATTTGTGATTACTTGATAAGGATTTTTAAAAATAATTTAATAGATAATGCACTTACAAAGAGCAAGTTTAGACAATTTAAGCAAGTTTAATAATAATAATAATAATAATAATAATAATAAGTATTATTATTTTATATACACTACCATTCAAAGGTTTGGAAAACATTGTGAAAAATATTTTTAGTCTAATAAATACTGTTATTCTTTCTATTATTCAAAAAATAGTTTCTCTATTAATCAAAATATCAAAATATGCATATTCTTTTTTCCATCCCCAAGCAAAACTAGAGACAAAAATAATAATTGTAGACAGTTCCAAGACATTAAGGTTGTTTTTCTTTTCCAAAATCACATATTTAACATTCATTGCCAGAGCTCCATGTATACAACATGACAAGGTTGCAATCTAGTGCCAGACTTCAACCCTGAACACACAGAACTGCCACTAAGATATATCACCACACAGGCTTCCACTGTAGAATGCAGTAATGAGACATTTAATGTGAATCACGTAAGCGATAGTGAAGCTGCTGACTCATAGGGATCCGCGGTGTCATTTGCACCTCCTGAAATAAGCCTTACAATAACTCAGGACAGAAACAAGCAACTCAACAAGCACTGACTGAGCAAACAAGCAAAACAGTTTCTGAACCCATTGGCATAATTGTGTAGACAGACCACTACTGAAAGGATGTTGTACCTGACTGTTGATTCTGTCTGAGACAGCATCTCACAACTCACCTTTGACGTCATAAAGGATTACGTGCACACTTTTATTAAAGGATCTTTTGAGTAAATGGAAATCTAGCATAACACTCAAAATTAATTCGGAAGAAGCAAGAACATATCTTGGGCGAAACTTTACTCATTAGGTGAAAGCTTCTTCATCCTTTCAGTCAACACAGGTATCTGTGATTTCATGCCAGAGCAGCTTCGTTAAGCCCGAGGACTGATCAAGCCTGTAATTATCTGCAAGGCAGAGCAAACACCGACTAAGGTGGAGCCTCTGCTTTCTGTTGAGGCTTGAATTGTTATTCTAGTAAGAGGGATATGACATGATGATATGAAGATCTAAATAGTTCCAAACTTGTGGCATAATGGCCACATGTGTTCAAATATCAAGTATAGATTCAGTCAGATGATGATCTAAGTAACAAAAGTATTTAATACATTAAAACCAGACTACAGCAAAAGTTATGGTCCTCAGCAGAAGCTCTGCACATGACATGCAAACGAGGAATGAGGAAACAATAAGTAATGGGGTTTCTGAACCCATTGGCATAATTGTGTAGACAGACCACTACTGAAAGGATGTTGTACCTGACTGTTGATTCTGTCTGAGACAGCATCTCACAACTCACCTTTGACGTCATAAAGGATTACGTGCACACTTTTATTAAAGGATCTTTTGAGTAAATGGAAATCTAGCATAACACTCAAAATTAATTCGGAAGAAGCAAGAACATATCTTGGGCGAAACTTTACTCATTAGGTGAAAGCTTCTTCATCCTTTCAGTCAACACAGGTATCTGTGATTTCATGCCAGAGCAGCTTCGTTAAGCCCGAGGACTGATCAAGCCTGTAATTATCTGCAAGGCAGAGCAAACACCGACTAAGGTGGAGCCTCTGCTTTCTGTTGAGGCTTGAATTGTTATTCTAGTAAGAGGGATATGACATGATGATATGAAGATCTAAATAGTTCCAAACTTGTGGCATAATGGCCACATGTGTTCAAATATCAAGTATAGATTCAGTCAGATGATGATCTAAGTAACAAAAGTATTTAATACATTAAAACCAGACTACAGCAAAAGTTATGGTCCTCAGCAGAAGCTCTGCACATGACATGCAAACGAGGAATGAGGAAACAATAAGTAATGGATACAAATTCTCAATTCATGGCCACAATATCTTGCTTACCCCTTGTTTCCCCTGCATGTGACACATGGGACTCTTTAGTAATTGTAATAAAGGCTCATTATAAGCGCAAACAATCTGATTGTACATTTTGTTCTGACTGCCACATTTGAAGCTGCTGTACAATAGCCGATATATGCACATCTGTGATTTAAATTCTATATTAATGCTTGGTGAACTTTATATAATGTTCACTGATAACCATAAACAGGCTACAGTTAGGCTAAGTTAAGTTAATTTAACCATGAATTATTCTGTTAAGTTAATAAATTAATCTGGAAAGTCTGGTCACAAACGGAATCAAATAGTTTGGTTGAACTCACCTGAAAGGTGCGGAGCCACTCCTGCAGGCCTGTAGGGGGCTGGATGGATGTGATACGTCGTCTCTGCTGACCCTGCCCATTGACTGCTCGAATGTCCCTAAACGTGGTGGGGGTGGCTGGATACGGCAGTCCTGTGGGACTGTTCGGTGAGGGTAAGGGAGAGAAGGATGAGAACGAATTAGACGTCAAGAGTGGGAAAGAGACAAAAGATTTAAAACACATTAAATGAAACTAAAACAAAAACAAAAATATTCTAAGGGCATTCTGGTGAGACATCTCTGACAGGAGACATCTGTATTGTGGTAATTCAAGAATATGGTGCAAGCCTGTCGTTTATGGAAGATTTCAAAACAAAATGGTTCTGTGGATGAAGCTACTATGGAAATCTGAGGCTTTATTTCAGAACAATAGCTTGAGAATTACAGCACAAACCAAAGTGGTGAGTTAGACTGAATCTGTGCCAGATGAGCACTACAGTCCACTCGAGCCGCTGTTGTGGTCCAAACAAAAGATTTAAAACACATTAAATGAAACAAAAACAAAAATATTCTAAGGACATTCTGGTGAGACATCTCTGACAGGAGACATCTGTATTGTGGTAATTCAAGAATATGGTGCAAGCCTGTCGTTTATGGAAGATTTCAAAACAAAATGGTTCTGTGGATGAAGCTACTATGGAAATCTGAGGCTTTATTTCAGAACAATAGCTTGAGAATTACAGCACAAACCAAAGTGGTGAGTTAGACTGAATCTGTGCCAGATGAGCACTACAGTCCACTCGAGCCGCTGTTGTGGTCCAACATTAGACAACATGACCATTTACTTCAGCCTCAGAACTCAATCAGGCAGCATGATTTTATTCAGCCACCTGCTCCAAACCGATTCATTCAGATGTTTATCTTCATCTTTGTTTCATTCATGGAAACCCTTTTCTGTTTACTTTTTACACTTTTTTTTAGAGTCCATCTAAAACATGCTCAAAAGCATTTAATGTATGCAAACTATTAAGAACTGAAGCACATTTCCTTTTCCACTTGTGGTGAGAAAGGGACACAGAGAGTTGTCCCATGTCAGCAGTCCTTACAGCACTTCTGTGTCTCTGGGGCCATACACTAACACCAAAAAGACGATTCAGCACTGTTTCCTTGCATTCTGCTTACCTACGGATACCTTCTCCGGTGCAAGAAATGCTCAGATGAGAAGGAGAGAGGGAAGAGTGCAGGCGAGCACGTAGTGAGGTCCGTTTCATAATGGATTCATATTTAATGGGATTTGAGACCAAGATGCTTCAATTACCCAGCGCGCAACTGCCGCCTGGTTGGTCGTGTACTGTTCTAATATGAACCATGAGAACACCTGCGTCTTGAGAATAAGGCATGAATAATCGTCAGAGTTGACTGCTGATCTTTTATCATAATTTCTCCCACCTTACTTTTTATTAGCATCTTAGCGTTTCCATCCAGCATTTTTTGTGATATATTAAAAAATTGTGGATGGAAACCAGGCTAATGGGGGATTATAAAACATTAAAATAAATATACACTACTCTTGCAAAGTTTGGGATCAATAACATTTTTTAATGTTGTGAAAAAAATCTCTTATGCTCAACAAGGCTGTATTTATTTGATCAAAAATACACTCAAAAACAGTAATACTGTGAAATATTATTACAATTTAACAATTTACTATTTTAACATATTTAAAGAAAATAATTTATTCATGTGATGTAAAAGCTGAAGCAGCCATTACATATTGCTGATTTGGTGCAATATATTAAATACTGGAAAAAGGTTGTGCTACTTGTTTTTATAGAAATCGTTACACACTTTTTTGCCCTGTGACTTTTCTGTGATTTTTCTTTTTTTTTTAAATTCACTTGTAATCAATTTAATGCATCCTGGTATTTCTATTTTTTTTTAATTACATTTAATTTAATTAAAATCTTAAATCTTCAATTTTATTTAATAAATAAAATATTTTTTAATAAACAAATAAATTAAAAATAATAAAAAAATACATTTAATTTAATTAAAATCTTAAATCTTCAATTTTATTTAATAAATAAAATAATTTTGTAATAAACAAATAAATAAAAAATAATACAAAATAATCCATAAAGAGGGATATATCTCATACAACTCTGTTACTGTTCTAAAAGGTAGATGTGACCAATAAAATTGAATGCAACACAGGCTAAAACATTTTGCTGGTTTCAGGTAAGTTGGCAAAAGATTTACCTTGGACAGGGCTTTTTTCCTGAAGGGAAAGGTCGAACCTCGGGGCCATGGTCCAACTTCCTCTTCATCTGCAACAAAGAGCAGGGAGAGTGCTGGTTAGTTTGGGTTCACAGAGGACAAAACAATAATGACAGCACAAACAACAAGCAAAGCAAGTTGACAGTAATGAGAGGGTGGATGTCCAAGAAATATTTCTAAAACATTCCTCAACCAGTTTCAAACCACCTGCTACTGATCCACCTGTGTTCTTTCCTGTGTTAAGAGGTGACTGAGCGAGTGGGTATTGTACTAGAGAGTGTGTTGGGTATTGTGCTAGTTCTCTCACCACCAAATGTAGGCCAAAGGAAGGAAGGTCATGTCCACTTTATAGTGACATGGCACAGAAAAGATAAAGTCTGACAGCTGATGCTAACGCTTGTCATGTGAGTCTTCAAAGAGGTGTATGTGGTAAACACACACCCCTCATAGGAGTTGGAAAGGGGAGCACATACACACAGACACACATCTGTGTGGGCGTGACAGGCACTGTGCTTTCACAACAGTCTAAATTTATATGGGCATAAAGGAGAAAAAAGAGCCACCCTCCTATGCTTCACTGTCTCTTTCTATGTCACCCACCCTCCAAACACAGGCTGAAATGGCTCTGGTTTTGCTGCATAGTTGGTGCCTGGCTACGGAGCATCTACTCTGGAAAAACAAGGGTTCAGTGTCCTCAACACAATGAAGTCCAAAACACATTTGAATAAAACTATTTTAGGAGGGTATAGGGCTGCCAGTGAATCTGTGTAGTTCACTTTCAGGGAGAGCTCAGTGATAGACTCAGAGTTATGAATCATTGTGCCCTGCCAAGGGTTTGTAAGCACAAATTAAGAGTGATGAGTAAAGACTTTCACTACTAAATTAAGTCCATACCGTTTACTATGCAGTTATGCATCATGGTAATTAACAGGTCTGAAATGATATTCAAATTACGATTCAAATCTTAAAATGGACATTAATTTTTTATTTTCTATTGCATGATGTGATGCCTAAATTCACCTGTAGCATTTTGAAACACTGACTCCATAGTATTTTATTTTTATATAAGCAATATACTTTTTTTTTATGCCATTTATCAGTTATTGGCCATAAAAATAATCACTGATGTATCACTATCAGTGACAATTTTAATATTAATGCATTCCTAGTTTTTCTTAAAGCATTCATGACATTTCATGGAATTATGCATGTAAACGTGTTCACGGTTGACCTTTTTGTGGTCAATTTAGAGTTTTGTCCTACAGTAAAAATTACATTCATTGGCCTTGATATTCAAATGAAACCAATAAAACACTCGCATGATCACATTTGCAGCAATTGATCTAATGTCAGAGGAGCCAGGTGTTTGATACACTTGAGTGAGGTCGAGCTGAAAGGTGTGTCTGATAATGAAGCTCGGTATGGATTTCTGAAGGGACCACACTCTGTGAGATTCACAGTAAATGAGGGCCGGAGAGAGAAAAAAACAGCCAAAAACCCCCCACAGATTAAGTACAACAGAAACGTCCATAAATTGTGGAAATAAGACCAAATCTAATTAAATCACAAAAATAATTTGATTCAATGTATACAGTCTAGTCTTTTTCAGAACATAGTCCCATTTATTTATTAACCCCCTCCAAATCAAGTTTGTTTTACAGGCCAGCTTGGCAAGGATCAGTTTAGACTGAACAGCCAGTGATCTCACTGCAAAGGTAGTCCAACAGATAGGACAGGCAGGGTGTGTGTGTAAACACGTATGAATGAAGATAAGATAGTAAAAAGATGGCATGACACTGAAGATGCATGAAACTGTATGCCTGTAGCGGTGTGTGTTCAAGAGCATTGAGATTCTCTCACATTACTCCACAAGAATGCGCAACAAAACACGCAGGCAATGCCACACGTGCTAATCACTGCTAATAGCTAAACCTGTCTAGCCTACTTGGTAAAAAGCACTTAACACAAAATAGCATGAACTAAGTAAAAGCATTCATTTGCTTAGTTATACATTCATTTCACTGAGTGGATTAGACTGTCGCTTCTCTCTTGGGTTCACAGCAAGAGCCATCTGATTTTAGATGAGTCACTGTGTAATCATTCTCCATGTCTGACACCACAGTGCAGAAATGGCTTGGTCTGTGGTTAACAGGAATGCCTGTGTTCATGCAAACCGGTGCAGTCTTGGCAAATAACCTGTTTTAGTGAATAAATCCTGTGATCTATGAATGAATAACCTTGCTATGGATTTCAGAAGCTTCTTAGATTGGTAATGACTACATATTTAGACTATGCAAGAGTGCTGTGCTTCACAAATACAACCCAGTCAAATACAAATACAGCAGTCATGAATTACTAGAAGTCAAAACTTGAGTATCATGAAGGTTAGGGATGAAATCACATGATCCATTCTCACATTTTGTCCATCTAAGAACATCAAACATCCTTAACGAGCTTCGTTTTTATAAGCAAACAATTAACGAGATTGCCTGGAGCATCCTTCAACATCACTGTACTTCACTCGATGTTGTTCTGATCTGTTCAGGACACCCCGAAAACTGCAGTGACAGCGAGCTTCTGATAAGCTCTCCGCTTTAAACGCTCATTTCACTCAAATTTACAATCATAACGTGTGAGTTTTCGGGACAGATGTGGCTCTGTTTCCTCCGTCAAATGCAATGACACAGTAACCCAATCATTGTGGTCTGATGCCGCCAGGCAGTTGAGAATATACACACCCTTCAACAGGCAGCACAGAAACTGATGCTTTACCACACTGACACGACTCAAAATAATTACAAAATCATTCACATAGCACAACACTGAAGCTATAGGACATTCGTGACTGTACGTTCCATGTTAACATGACCACAATAACAGTGAGAGAGTGCAGATACTGTTTCTGCTCTATACCACCCTACATGACTGCAAAGCACAAATTAATATTACCAACAGGTTTACTTTGAATGGTGCAGTAAAATGAGTATCAAATAAGATAGCATCATACTCATTTGAACTATAAAATAAGAGTCAAGCAGTTAACTCTTATAAGATCAAATAAATCATCTATACAAGTACACAAGATTAGGATGGATGCGGTGATGGTGAGATGCGTGGGGATGGATAGATATGTATGATGTAGGGATCGGAGGTGCAGTGTGTGTGTGTGTGTGTGTGTGTGTGTAAGGATGGGCAGATGGTAGAGAAATAGTGATGGAGCCTCTGTTCTCCAAACCCGTTCCATATTTAAGCGCATCACATCCTTTTCTACATATGAGGTTCTTGTCAAGAAGACTCAAAGTAGGTTCACGTGAATGAATATCGCGAAAGGTGATTCTCTATGTCAGCTGGAGATTTTTCCGCAGTGGCCGTATATAAGAACAGTCGCATATTTCACCGACGCACCCTTAAAGACGAGCACCGAGGTCGTGTACGCGTTCAGAGCGCGACGCGACAAACTCGAACGCTGGCATAATAATCAACCAAGATGTGTACATTACACTCGCGCGCATCTTATTTGAATATTACACATCGCGCTGTGCGAAACGACATCGCAGGCTCGCAGTGTACGCCGCTTCTTTAATTTATAATGGGAGCGTTGCTGTCGCGTCAGGGCTGATGGGGTATTAAAGCGAGCCCCCCAAGAGAAGGCGGATGGCTGTATGTATATAAAAGCCGCAGTGCACCCAACACGAATAACGGCGTGTACTCACTTTATAGAAGATCATCTTTAAAGTGCCGTAGAAACCCATGGTGATGGTGATGACGATAATCCGGCTGTGATTCACTGAGAGTCGATTAAGAATTTATGGAAATATATCTAAGTGATAAGGGCTCTATTAATCCCGGATAGATCCGACAGGGACATACTCGTCCACGGACGGATGCATATGAAGCCGAACAGAAGAACCCAACGACTCGCCCCGTCTGTCTCATTGACCGTCCTCTGAGCGGACTGACTGAGCGAACAGAAGGAGAGAGACGGGAGGAGAGAGAGAGAGAGAGAGAGAGAGAGAACGAGACCCTGCCGTCTTCAGAGCCTCCCCTCTTCCTGACACCCAGCACAAAAACCTGGACTTTCTATTTCTTTCTATTAGTAGGGACTGGAGTCATATAATATTATTTTAAATGATGTTTCTACATAGTAAAGCACTCAAGATTTTGTGAAATATATCTAGAAATCTTTTGAACACATATACATACCACACACACACACATATATATTGAAGTGAAAGATCACTTTGAATGGGTTTATTGGCAACTGTATATTATTCCATGTTGCAATGCTGCTTCTGAAATACACGGACATGAAATTAATTCATTGCATGAGAAGACAAGAGATTTAGAAGAGACTAGAGTTTTGAAGGGAGAAAAAAATCTCAGCTTTGAGTCTTGATGAACATGGTGTTTCTTTTGTAATAATGACTGGCTGGTGGTACACTATCCTGCTTATTACACGGCTGCTTAAATAAATGGACATAAAATATTGATTTGAGTTGAAATTAATTGATTAGCTTACTTGTAGAGAAAGCGGCGAGACATAACACAAGCACTGTCATGTAGGAAACAGATTTCCAATTGAGCAGGTCAGTTACACAGCATTGTCCTAGACAACTGTCATTATTCAGAATATTTGACCTCTGAATTCTGCGACCGACAAATCGGAATCAAGTATTCCAGGGAGCCATGCAATAATTGTGTTACATTATTAACAAAACAAAAATGGACAGAAATGAATTGCTGGCTCTCATGGGGATTCAATGGGAGCACACAAAGGGATCAGATGACAGGTTTTCTGCAGATGAGGAAGTGAATGGTGCAGCTCAGTGAACAGAGATGTGCATGCAGCCAGAGGACGAAAGTGGAAGAGCTTGAGATTATATTCAACCGAAACCGGGTGGTGCACGCCTTCCACTTGTTGCGGTTCCTGAGCCCGCCCCATAGCTACTGAAGACGATTGCCGGCCCCTCCCCGTGTTATTTCCATCAGACTGAGCAGGTGGTATTTGGCACTCGGGGTGGTTTTTTGTGTGGACTGCATGATTAAAGAT